CTTTTTTTATGGTTGCACGTTTTGCTTTCAAAACGAACAAAATTTTTATCAACCACATTCCGGCCGTACAACAACTGTATTTTTTTTATACAACAAATGAGCTCTTTTTTTCTTATTTCGTCTTTTTACCACCGAATATATTTTCGTCAATAAAAACAAAATGTGTCGCAAGGTCCAGCATGAAAAGCTGGACAATCTGTATAGGCAATAAAAAATGTGAAATGAGAACAAAGAAATTTCTCGTTCGTGTTATTTTTTCGCAGTGTCGAAATTTGATCGCTCAAAACTTTGTCCATTTTCAGAGCAAAATATGCAACTATCAAAAAATCGGTCGGATGTAAATTATAGAGCTTTGCATGCTGCATCTTATGATGTAGTTTTGTTTTTCTAACACAACTTATTAAAGGATTGAAAATTGATACACAAAACGTGACCATTAAACCCGTTATATGTTATTTAAGAAATCGCGTATACCTAGTACAAAAGAAATCATAGACTAGAACAAAGCGCAAGACTTAGAAATCTGAAATTTTGCACATAATCCTAAATATCTCTGGGCATTATAACAGTATAGTTAGTTCTTGATCAAATCTTTTAAGAGAGCCGAGCGAAAAAAGTTTTGCAGTGTTCCATGTACATAGAAATAAACTGTTGTTCATTTATATCAATACAATAAATTATGTTGCGTAGTGTAATCTAGTATTACGAGAAATAAAGACAGTTAATGAGAAAAATCAAAACAAAAAAGAAAAGTATCAGTCTAATATGTTTCATAATAACTAGAGACAGATCTTGTCATCAAAAAAGATTGAACATGAAAATTATATATTAGCGAATATTGATAGAAATTTTTCTTAACATTTTATTGTAAATGACTTAGCAGAATCTAAAAGTATTGATTAAAAAAAATGTAAAAGCAAAGTAGAATTTTTCTACTAAAGCAAGAGAGATGGTAGTACGGTTCAAGATTGTATTTACTAATCCTCTGACCAAGTGATAGATTTTGTATGAAAATTTCATTTCAAATGACCCTAGAGCAGTTAATATAATTAACGAGATAGTAGATAAATATAGTTTTTCCTTTGTCATCCTATTTGTTTGTATCAGCAGTTCTATCCATATCCATTAAAATCTCTTTCGTTTATTATGTTATTATTGATTTTTTTAATTTCGTTTCTGTTTTTCTCCTACTCATGAACCAATATTCTGAATCTTAAATTTGTTTCGATATAGTAAGTTCTGGATCTGAGTTATATACATACTCGCCGATGCGACGTTTCACATAAGTAGATAAGCATTATATTATGAATAGCATTAATAGAAATGTAAGAAATAATTAAAATATATATCATTTTCATAGTTTCTGATGGTTTGTACAATGCAAAAAAATGTTATTATCGAAATGCAACGATTGAATTAAAATTAGGTAAAATATTAACGATATCATAGTATTTTAAAGTAGACTTTTTTTCTTTTAATATAGCATAATCAATTTCTGATGATTTGTTTCATTTCATCATATTTATATTATAGGAATAATTATGAATGAGATTGTGCATGTAATAAATTCAATTCATAAAATATTAAAATCACCATCCGAGCATCCGCTTTCAAATCGAAACAGATCTGAACTAGTCGATATTCTTACCATTCTGAATCGATTTATTAATTCGAATTCACCAAGACAAGAATGAACTCGATTGATTTGTCGACAGTTAAACCGTTTGACGAATTATAATCATTTAATCTCAAGCAAAATTTGGATTCAATATCATGACGACATTCTTTATGTACAAGACAAAGCAAATGGCGAACAAGGTATGGGTAGGAGTTGGAATCATTTTAGCAGAATGATAAATTTTGAAAAAGAACTAGAGTATCGTAAGTCACGATTTTACCAGAAAATAAAAGAACAAAAAAGTTTGAATGAATTCTTTTGTGAACATCAGAAGTTTTTTGAAGAATATCTTCAGAAATGTATTTCTCTTCATTCAAAAGTGAAGGTGCAAAGTCTGATAGAGAATATTGATGATCTTCTTAGTAAAATTTATGAACTCAAAGAAATTTCGATCACTTCAAAAAGTCAAAAGCATCTTAAGAAAAAACTAAAATGTATTGAGATAAATTTCGATTGTAGGAATAGATCATTCGAATGTTTAAGTTCTCGATTTTCTACAAATGATAATTCATATAAGGAGGGAGCCAATAATAATCTCAATACCTTTCTACCTTCAATCGAACAAATAAAAATAAATAGGAGTGATAAAGCCAAGTGCATTACGAATATACTCCAATATAATCGATGGATTACATGTGTTTTTGCTAAATCAATTCTTAATGGTCAAACACAAGTAGTTTTAGAAGGAGATAATTGTATTCCAGTTCGTATTCCGATTTTGATTCGAATCGGTGAATTTGCAACGTGGCTTAAGCAATATCCAACAAAGACATTAATAGATTATATTGGAGAGCATACATGGGATTCAAAACGTTATTGTCATGATGACAATAAAAATGTATTGAAAGAGTTGATAAATCATGGCCATACTTTTGATCCTTCTAGATGGACTTGATGAAATTACTGAAGTTGGACAAAAAAAAGAAATTGTCGACCTTGTTAGGAAATTTATTGATGAATATGTGCGTGGACCTGATTTCATCTCAGCATTCGATGACAGAATGTTTCACGGAACATCATTAGATTATTGTTATCATACAATTATTGAAACACAGCCACCGAATATACCTGGTGGTAATCAGATAATTATTACGAGTCGTATTATCGGTTATCAACTGCATCCACTTATTGGTACTTTCATCCATCACTATGCATTTTTAATAATGAATTATAATGAAGCAAAGGAATTTGTAAAGAAATGGTTGTCACAAATTGAGAAAAGTATACTTGAAATATTGTTGAATGAAGGAATTAATCTTGACCGAAAATTAATGAAAATTCTATCGAAGAGACAATATAATGTTGGGAAAGCATTGCTTGAAAATAGTTCAGAGTTATTATCAAATTCTTCTTTGTTATCATTGATTTGCACATTTATTTTTCAATCATTCGATAAATTTAATCCTAAATTTAAATTCATCATCTGGTCTTATAGATGAATTTGATATAAAACAATTACGCTATTTAGTCTTAAAACAACAAGATCTATCATATAATCATAAAATATTAGATGAATACATTCATAAATTGATATCTTTACTTGACTTTAACATTGGTATTTTTGCTGAACGAGGTTTACAAATATATGGATTTCTTCATTTATCATTTCAAGATTATTTTGTTGCACGTTCCCTTATAAAAGGTTCACCTGATGAGGTTGCAAAACGTATTCTTACAATTACTATTCATCTTCGTTTTCATGAATCACTTCTTCTTGCTATTGGTTGGATTAGTTGGAAATGGTCATTTGATGATTATGACGTGTTTTGTAATTTACTTCTTTTTTTATGCTTTCAATGATATACAAAGATTACCTTCAAATTCACTTCTCTTTATTGCACCTAACAATATACTTGATCATCCATATTATCCAAGTAAAACAACATATTTAATATCGAATCTATTGAACTTACATGAAAATATTATAATAGAATGGATGCAGACACAATTGAAAGATGAAAAACGTGTTTCTAACTTTTGTCAATGTTTATTGAAGAATGATGCTAAGAAGTCTAATGATGAAATTCAAACCAATCAGAAATCAATACCATCTGCTATTTATCAACAATTATGGTTGTTACACATTCTTAGTACATCAGCCGAATTGATCATCGATCAAACCTCACGAACAATAATGAGATCAACTAATATATCTGATCAAATCTTTAACAAAGATTTATCTTTGTATTTATTGTCAAACGACATTTCTATATCCAATATTCATCCTTGGATTATTTCTGTCATTATTGCAGTATGTGGTGGAGTATGTCTTAGAGATGAAGAAGGAATAATTAAAATTAACTTTTCAATACAACAGACACATCGTCAATCTTCAATTTTAGCACCAATTATTGAATATTTTGCTAATAACAAAAAAATCTCATTCAATCAAAATTCAAA